TCTAACAAGGGTCTCGGTTTTACCACTAGAGAAGTGTCCGTTCTCATGTAACTGTCTTATTATTTGATTTTGCATAGCGCGCGGCACCACTATGCGAACATCATCGTCAATCACCTTAAACAAAAGTCCGTTTCTTATTACGTAGTCGCCACCATTATTTTGTGCACCGTTCACAGAATCCATTATTTCAGATAATTCTTTGTCCGCACATTGCGCTTTTCGCAATCTCACAAGCACACTAGTCTCGCACTCATTAACAAGCATGCACACCGGAACAGGCTTTCGACTTAACGCATCGACATGTCGCATATTACTTCCTGAGCGATGTTCAATAGTATAATTGAAATCCTCTAACAATAATGCCCATCTTGCAACTCGAACACATAAGTCTCTTTTTTTCATAGTAAGAGTAAACGCACGACAATCGGTTACAATTCTAAATGGTATCCCTAAAAGATAAACTCTAAACTTATGTAACGCTTTAACTATAGCTAATATCTCTAATTCATAACTAATGTATCGCGATTCTGCCTCTGATGTTTTCCAACTCGCATAATATGTTGGATGGTAACGTTGATCGACATCGTCCTTCTGTAACAGGATGGCACCGAGCCCGACACTCGACGCATCCGTATGGAGCTCTGTTTCCGCACCCACGCGGTATAATTTTAAAACCGGCTCCTTGCTCAATGCAATTTTCAACTGTTGAAACGCTAGCATGTGGTTTTCATTTAGTTCAAATTTTACGTCTTTTCTCAACAAGTTCGACAAAGGTTGGGCTATGGTTGAATATTGTGGAATAAATTTTCGAAAATGCCCAGTTAATCCTAAGAAGCTCTGTACGTCTCTAACACTTTTTACTAATGGAAAATTCATAACAGCTATTGTCTTACGCTTCGACGGACGTACGTGACCATCCTCAATTATGTGACCTAGATATTCTATGCTACGTTGAAGAAAACGACATTTCTTCCAATTTACTCGCAATCCATAATCACTTGCAATACACAATATCTCACTCAATCTCGATACGGCTTCATTTTCGTCACTCGCAGGAATAATTAAATCGTCTATATACGTCAAAACAACACCTGTCTGTATCGGGTTACGAAATATGCTATTGATATATTTCTGAAAGATAGCTGGAGAATTACAGAGGCCAAATGGGGTTCTTAAAAATTCAAAATGCCTATCAGGTACTATAAATGCAGTGTATTTACAACTATTTTCCTCAATCGGGACGTGGAAAAAACCATCCTTTAAGTCAAGGGTACTAAATATCGTCGCGCCCTGTAATCGATCCAGCTGATCCTCTATCAATGGAAGCGGATAACGATCTTTACATACTTTCTTATTAAGCAATCTATAATCTATACACAAACGCATTCCATTATCTTTCTTTTTTACAAGTACAATCGGACTAGCGTATTCCGACGTACTTTCCCGCACTATTCCTTGTTGCATCCATTCATCTATCTGCTTGTTAACTATTTCTCTTTGCACTGGCGCTAATCTACGTGGAGGTTGATATAGGTATATCATCTTTCAATACAATTTCCATTTTAATGTTAGACTCTTTAATGGTTTTAGGCTCATAACTATTTATTATATATTCTATCCCTTGTTTAACGGTATCATTTTTAATATGTTGCAAATCTATTACAGAATCAGTTATGTTGTTCTCGGACTCATCGAAAGTATTTATGCAAAATATTTCCGGTACATCATAAGAATTTGTTACTTTATTATCGCGTTTCGAAACCTCAACACTTTTGCCGTCTAACATTAATTTAGCCTCTTGCAATAACTCTGAGCCAATCAAAAAATTGTGTCTTAAATATTCATCCGGTACCACATGAATTAAAAATCGGAAAATATTTTTATCAATTTGTACGTCCGCGTAAAAACTGCCTAAAGTAGTGACTTTACTTAAACCAAATCCTTTACAAGATATTTCTGTACCGTGTAAAATTGGACATCCTAACCTGATATATTGCTCGGCCTTCAATAAGTGCAAATCGCTGCCCATATCCATAAACGCTACTACCTGCTTACCTAATAATATTACCGGCTTGTATATCTTATTGTCCCGAACGGCCACTGCCGTATATTCATTTACCTGCTTATTCTGCCCCTTCGTACAATCTACGGCTCTGTGCCCAAAGTCTCGGCAGGCGAAACATCTCGGACCTTTGCTTTTAACGGGGCAGTCTACACCTCGATGGTTCCTCTCACCGCAATTAAAACATCGTAACTGGTTATTCGGCACTTCTTTAGCGTCTTGTTTCACTGTTTTCATCGGTAACCACTTATTTTCTTTTGGCTTGGTCGCTGGGTTGAACGGCAACGATCTTCCTTGCAAAGAAATCCTGTTGAATGCTGCTAGCAGTTCCCCCTTAGTAGCAATCTTCTGCACTCGTGCCAGATCTCTTAATCCACGATCAGGTATTCCTCTACGATATACTCTATAATTTCCGTGTCACTGATTGGCACGCGGTTTCCTAATATAACTTTTTGATGCACGTATTCACTAAACGTTTCTTCTTTCCTCCAAACACGTGCCTCAAAACGTCGTCTCATTTCCAGAACGCTCCCAGGATGGTAAAACATGTCTTGCAAATTCCTCAGTAGTTCTTCTACCGACATCGCAATATGTTCAGGCTTCGAGTGTAACCACTCCAGTGCATTACCCTTCAGTCGCGATCCCATTAACAATTTGGTCATATCATCCGTCAGCTGATATGTCATTTTCAGTGTACTGCTGCTCCCATCGAAATGACTTAATAAATCCGCAATGGCAGAAATATTTACCGGTGGCGGTCGTCTTTGCCCCGTCGGTACGCTTGCAGATTCTCCTGCCTCACCTCTATCGAGATTAAGCCTTTGCATTTCTCGAAGTAAACCAATTTGCTGACGAGCTAATTCAAGCTCTCGCTCTACCAACTGTTTTTCCCGTTGCGAAAGTTCAATTTCTCGTCGCATCTGTACCATATCACTCGCGCAACCTGAACCATTCTCACTCGCAATTTCTTCAACCGCGCCGTCTGTACACATTGTTAACCATTCGCCGGTCAGATCGGCCTCATGCAGACGCTGAATCAGTTTCGCCTTCAAACCAGAAGTTGAAAGTCCCTTTTCTCGTAATTTTTCTTTCAATTCTGCGATGCAGAAATCACTTGGATTCCTCCTTACTGAAGCCATTTTATTGACCACCACAACTATAAATTGCCACTTTCAACACTAGTCCTCGCAGTCTTCACTCTACACTTACACCTCAGCCCTTTAAGTAAACTCTGTTCTCAAAATACTTTACTAACAACTCTCTAGTTGCACAATTTCGGAATGTTCACACTAGGCGTTTTGCTATGACTCGGTTTAAATTCTAATCCCGGACGAGCCCCCAATTTGTAGGAAATAAAATTAAAATGTAGATAAAGAACGTTAAATTTATTTAAACATATAACAAAACGAAAATAGTAATTACACGCTACGTCTCAACTCTTGTGTCGACTCTTCGACGACTCGCTCGACTCTGCCTTTTTTCAAGGCCAGACACGCGCGACTTCCAAACGAACGACGCCACACGCAACATTGTCGCCATCGATATCGACACCGCTTTCACGAACAATCATTCGATTCCAAGCATTCGTTACTCACTCATACCACTCATGATTCACACACACACACACACACACACACACCACCACCACCACAGTTATAGTAATATTAAATAATATAATTTATATAGTTACACATAAGTGTCCGAATATTAGAATCTGACCACACGCCTTTGACCATCCCTGACATCCTCACAATTTATACTCTTTTTCGTAGAAAAATAACACTCTAGATAAGAATACCCTCTTAACGCCTGTAACATTCATGAAACATAAACATGTACACGAAATATCGGAATTAAGAAACTTGAACTTTTTTTCCGTAAAAAAATGAAACTGCCCATTGAAATACCCTCTCAGCGACTGTAAAAACCAAAATGGAAAGGACGAACGTTTGGTTCAAACACGATATCGCTCATTATTCCTAAAAAAAAATTCGTTGCACCTTTCGCGTCGAATAAGCGCAGCTTTGCCTTAGGTAATTTCCTAGCAAGTCAGTCGTACAGAAATCACGCCGAAGCGTGTAGGAAAAATTGTCCCCGTCCGAGGGAATAATTCAACCAAACTCGGCTGCCACTTTCCGCACGGTCTGGCGTAATGGTGCATTACGGATGGTATATATTTTACGAGCGCGAGAAAGATCGACCCTCGTTGGAATGTCCACGCGTACCTTCGTCGTCGTCGCCAACGGTGTCGTAAAATATTGCGCCGGCTTAATTAAACGCGAACCACTTTGAGCCGCGCGACTCGTTTACTCGGCGTGCCAGTCGATGTTTCGCTTTCGCGAGTCCCGCAACCGTTCCCTCGAATCGATTGAAAACCGTTTATCGTTTTTCTCTCTCTCTCTGGATCACGCGGAATCGACGATTCATCGGGCGAAAAAGAGAACGAAGCGCCCGGCTGGCGGTCAAATCGGATAATTGCATCTCGCCACGTTTTTCATGGTTAGCGGCGCGCGGCGTTGACCTAGAAGGGTGGTCGCGGGGGCTAGGGAGGGGTGTGGGGTGAAAAAAAGCAAGAAGAAAAGGAAAACGGTTACAAAGGACGGCACAATGGAGTTTGCGGAGCCATTGTTTGAGCATCTAGTACGATCCATCGACTCTCGCGCCCTTCGCCTCCGCTCTCGGGTCGCCCGATCGAATCACAACTTTTCCGTGCTTTTCTTTCTCGAAGGTCGTCACGAGATTTTATCGTCGAAATATCCTGAGGGCCGTGTGCCGTTGTTTTAATGCCTCCATTGTGTCGGTCCCAGTGGGTCAAGCGTTCGCCGGATCCGGGAACAAGAGCGACCGTCCGACGTCGCGTGCCCTTTCTTACGACTCCACGGGAGGAAAGCAGCTTACACGGATCTCTGACAAAATTTGTTTCTTCGGTCTGTTGCAGTTGCCGGTCTGAAGCTGATTCGCATAAACGTACCGCCGTACACCCTCAGAGGCAAGAGCGCGCTCCTCGAGTGCAGGTAAGAGTACTTGGACGCGCTGCGATCTCGTCGACGAGCAGTCGTGCCATCGAAAGGTCCAAGGGGCCCTCCCCCCGCGTCCGTTCGATGCGTCCATCGATCGATCGATCGCGCGAATCTCGTCGAGACGCGTCCGCCTTATTCCCCTTCGGCGATTCGATGATTTTGCTTACCCGAATAAATCTGCTCGCGGTCCAACGACCAGTGGAAACGCTCCCACAACCGAAGGGACGCGATTTTTCATTCGTATTTACAGCGCGTGGGAGGGGCGAGAAGAACTCGTAAAGACTGTTGAAATAATGATAGAATGCCGTCGATCGATTGTTCAATAATTTATTTAACATCGGACATCGCTTCTTACATCATTAATAAAAGCGAACAAAGACTGTTAGATTTAGGGATAGAACGGCGGAACGGTGTCCTTACGTACAAATATTAGGTGTACAAATGAATAATCCAAATTACCTTAAGCAGTTATAAAATCAAGTTTACAGTCAGATTTTCTCGCTCTTTTGCGGTCATATAGTGTTGACATATAGCTAGTTAAAACAAAAGATAGTTTAACGAAAGGCCCAACATAACCTTCAAAAGTATTCCATTCAGTAGAGTCGAACATGGCAACAGATATGGTGTATATCCGACACTGCATTCTTTACGAATTCCAACAAGGGAAAAATGCTGCGAAAGCATGCGAATCGATTTGTTTCTTTCTCGGTGAAGGTGTTGTATCATATGATGTGTGCGCATTTTGGTTTAAGCGGTTTAAAAGCCGTGATTTGAGTCTAATCAACAAACAACGCCCTGGAGGCCCTCGGAAGTCCGACAACGATGATTTGGAACTGCTCGCTGAGAATGCGGCACAAACACAAAAAGAACTTGCAGAACAGTTAGGAGTAACCCAGCAAACGATTTCCAAACGCTTACGTGAGATGGGAAAGATCCAGAAAGAAGGAAAATGGGTCCCGCATGAACTCACTGCAACCAACAAAAATCAACGAGTGGCAGCGTGTCTTTCTCATCTCAATAAGCAGCGTCGAAAGTCTTTCTTGTGGAAAATCGTTATGGGCAATGAGAAGTAGATACTCTATGTCAATCCGAAACGCAGAAAGTTATGAGTAAATTCCGGCGAAGCATCAACATCGGTTGCAAAACCCAATCGCTTCGGAAAGAAAGTTCTTCTCTGCATTCGGTGGGATATCAAGGGCGTGGTTTATTATGAGTTGTTGGGACCGGGTGAAACAGTTACTGCGGATTGCTACCAACGTCAATTAATCTGCTTGAGTCAAGTATTGGAACGAAAACGTTCGTATACTGGCAAAGAAGAACGTCCAGTGAAATTGTTGCATGACAACGCCAGGCCACATATTGCTTCCCATACAAAAGACACCTAAATGAGTCTTGGCTGGGACGTCTTGTAGAACGCTGAGTATTTTCCAGTTTCGGTTTTCCGTTTTTCTGTCCTATCTCTTTTTCTCTACCTTTGCTATTAGGGTAAGAATGTGTATACATATATTGAAGGGACGCTTGAAGAAAGCCCCAGTTTGTTATAGACAATCTACTTTCTTTTAAAATAAACATTGTATGTGGCTGAAAAAATTGGATTATTCATTTGTACACCTAATATATATCCTCACCTCTCACCGTCAATTGTTCTGTGAACTGCTACGCGTTTTTGTTTTTAAATCATGTCGCGCGACGCTCGCGCAGCATCTCACAGGATGACGATACACTCTTTATCACACGCAAGCTAAATTTACTCTCATTTCAACGAAGACATCGATAAGATTGCCAGGCAATAACATATCGAATTTACGCTTAGCGTTCGGTAAATAAAATTAAAAATAAGACGAGAAAGAGAGACGAGTCTCGATATTTTTTCGCTCTCCTCCAGCTTTATTTATTTATACTCGTAATATCGTACATCGCAATCCGTGGGAGATTCTTCTCGCTTCTCTCTAAAGGCCAGCTTTTCTGCCTGAAAGAGACGTTCCGATCGCGACCAAATCTCTTTCGAACTCGTTTCTGTTCTTTTCGCCCTCGCGTTTGAGACTCGCGAAAGATGCTCGTCCGAGAAACTCCCGCGTATGGGTCATTCCATGCCAAATCGATCGCGTTCAGACTGGATGTCAGGGACTTTTTTCGAATTTAAACAAATTGCTGTCCTTGAAAACAAAGCCTCGAATGGAACAGTTTTAGCAAAAATATAACTGACGTAACGTGAATTTTGGGAAACTTCGACACGATGATTTTAAATAAAAAATAAGTTTAATACGTATTAATCGTTGTTTCGTAATGCTTAAATAAAAATGTTCCCAGTATATCATTCCACGTCGACCGAAACGACCGATACGCGCCTGGTTCGCGTTGCAAATACAGAGAAATAATGTTTCGTTTGCATCCCCTTTTTTTTTTATTTAGAAATAGAACCGTGCATTCGCCGTGAGTGTAAATTACTAAACATCGCGGCATGAAAATATTGTGGACAAATACAAATGACTCGGGCGGGAACCTTCATGTTTCTTACAGCAACGGGTGCATTAGCAGTTAATCTAAACGTCGCGTAGTGCCGTAACCAGGGTTTTCCGACCCAGGTTTTATTTTCAAAAAATTATTCCCCCGACATCCACCATCCCCATTAACGCGTTCGTTTTATATCCGTATAAACAAACGAGGAACAAAAATATATAACAAAAAATATCCAAACGTATCTATTTACTACATTTAATTTATCCATAATTCATTGTTTCCACTGTTTGGTTCGAGCTGACCATAAATTAGGAAGCCCAGGGACGACCGTAAACTCGCTTCGTCTCTACCAATCGTTTTTTCGTCCCTCTCTTCGACGCTCTAACTTCCACTTTCCTCCCGAGGCTTTCCTCACGTTCGTCTCCACTTAGTTTACGACTCCATTTTACAATTTGTACAACCCTTAACATCCAATCCTGGCCCGATCGATCTTTTTATCTACGACCCCTGGACTCTCTCGCTAAACACTACGTTTCAAATCCAGTGCAACTGTAATCATTAATATGTTTATTATCACCTTGGAACGTCAATATGATTTCGCCGCCAGTTTATACAAGCTGTAACGCACGCAAAGTGTTCAATTAATTAACTCTCTGATAGCTTTAGGTTTCCAATTGCATAATCTGTTTATTTGCCCAACATAAAGGCTTATGAAATTATTTTCTATAAAAGCAAAAATATTCATAGTTGCGTAACAAAATTTGGAATTTTGTTCTTAAATATTCCTGCACAAAATTTATGAACTTTCCCCTTACGGAACATGATTCCACATTGAATAAAATTACTACAGATGTAGCATTGGTCCGTGGCGGACAGATTTCCCCCAACGGTGGGTAATGAAAGGTGTTAATTTGCTGGACGTTATTCCGAATCACCCTCTAAAATAGTCTGTTTACGCGACAGAACGTGGCGAATTTGAGAGGAAACGCCAAGATGGATAAGCCTCGGAGTCGTAGCGTCGCTACGATCCCTTCCGTCCCTTCGACGACCTTTATCGCCTCGAGCCAGTTCCCGTACCCTAAAGACTGTACGCGAAGGTTGTCCACGATCGACTAAATTAACTCGTCGGGAATCGTTTCGTCCCTTGGCGTACGCGTTTCGAGCGGAATTCCTAGTCGGACCTCGTTGCTGACCCGATCGCGTTCCACCCCGTTCGAGTCGTCGTCGTCTGGCCGGTAATTACGAGCCCAGTTAGCGTCGAATCGAAGTTTCTTCCGGTAGGAAACGACGGGTGTCACGGAATCTGTATCGACGAGGCCCGGGATCGAAGTCTCGAATTGGCCGCGGAGACGTTGGGGGGAACGAGAAGACCAGAGTAGCCTCCCGCCAAACATCGTCGACGGTCAAAGATTGACGCCATCTTTCCCTCGAGGGTGTTTCGCGAATCCTTAAGTCGCGCGCGACCATGTTAATTAAAACGTAATGAAATTATGGCATAGCGTCGCGCGTCCTACAATTACGGCTAGCTGGAATATGCATTCTAATTAGTGGCGCACAGGCTGAACGAGTTTTCACGAAGAAAATAAGGTCGACCGTTGGGTACCTGTGCGCGTTTCTAGAGAGTGCTTCGTATCCCGAGAAGCTCGCGGCAAAATCTGTAATTCGTGCCGGATGATGGTCGACCGTGATTTCGCGAACGCGACTAAAGGCGCGAAAACATGCACCGAAACGAGGTCGAACAATTAAGCTGCTGTAGAATTGGGTAGAACGTTCCGTGTATCAACTGTATCCGAAGAACGATACAACGAACAGATATCGATAGCATGCAGAACATACTAGCACACGCAAAAACAAATTTTAAATTTTAAATTCAATTTTAAAGAAAAAAAAGGGGTGGAGACATTTTTCGGCGAAATTAAAAAATTTCAAATTGTTCTGGAAAAATTATTCTCGGTTGCGGGTGTCAATAACCATCATTTTTTGTGAATAGGCATACTCCCGAAATCCTACGCAATTTCGAGAAAAAAATTCCTTACCGAAAATCTAATGGCTGACCACACGTTGACATGTTTCCCTGAAATTTCATGCGTATATATAAAAAATTATAACTCATAAACGGGTTAGACGATTTTAATGTTTCAAAAAGCAAACAACGCGTATTTTTGTGAAGCATATGTAGAAATTCTAACAATATTGGAAAAGTTATTCCTTGATCCCATAAAGTGAGAAAACCCCCATAAAAGTGGTCCAATTTTCAAGCGTCCATAATTCCTACAATAGTGAATATATTTCAATGAATTTTTTTCCTGTACTAGAGCTCATGAATACCTACAAAAAAGTACTAAACAATTTTTCCGTACAGCGCCAAACAAATTTATTAAAAATGAAAAACGAATTTTTAAGAAAAATCGGCAGGTGCTGAAAGTCGACGAAGAAAAAAAATTACAAATTGTTCTGAAAAAATTATTTTCGCTTGCAGGGGTTCATTGCAATCATTTTTGGTGAATACACATATCTCCAAAATCCTACTCAAT